TCGGAACACTGTTCAAATCGCTTGGGAAATATTACAAGGCTCAAGAATACCTGGGGAAAGCTCTTGCTATCAACATAGAAATTGGCGACAGAAATGGAGAAGCAACAATCTTCAGGAACCTAGGAGAGCTGTTTAGATTGCTTGGCGAATATGGCAAGGCCCAAGAATATCTGGAGAAAGCCCTCGCTATCCAAATAGAAATTGGCGACAGAAATGAAGAGGCAACAAGCTACGGAACACTTGGAACAGTGTTCCTATCGATCGACAAAAATGGCAAGGCCCATGAGTACCTGGAGAAAGCTCTCGCCATCCAAATAGAAATTGGCGACAGAAATGAAGAGGCAATAACCTACGGGAACCTCGGAGCACTGTTCGTATCGCTTGGAAAATACGACGAGGCCCGAGAATATCTGGAGAAAGCTCTGGCTATCCAAATAGAAATTGGCGACAGAATTGGAGAGGCAGCAAGCTGTGGGAACCTCGGAACACTGTTCAAATCGCTTGGGAAATATTACAAGGCTCAAGAATACCTGGAGAAAGCTCTTGCTATCAAAATAGAAATTGGCGACAGAAATGGAGAGGCAACAATCTTCAGGAACCTAGGAGAGCTGTTTAGATTGCTTGGCGAATTTGGCAAGGCTCAAGAATATCTGAAGAAAGCTCTCGCTATCCAAATAGAAGTTGGCGACAGAAATGGAGAGGCAACCAGCTACGGAAAACTTGGAACACTGTTCCAATCCATCGGCAAACATGACGGGGCCCATGAGTACCTGGAGAAAGCACTTGCTATCAAAATAGAAATTGGCGACAGAGATGGAGAGGCAACAGGCTACGGGAACCTCGGAGCGCTGTTTAGATTGCTTGGCGAATATGGCAAGGCCCAAGAATATCTGGAGAAAGCTCTCGCTATCCAAATAGAAATTGGCGACAGAAATGGAGAGGCAACAAGCTACGGAACACTTGGAACAGTGTTCCTATCGATCGGCAAATATGGCAAGGCCCATGAGTACCTGGAAAAAGCTCTCGTTATTCAAACAGAAATTGGAGACAGAAATGGAGAGGCAACAAGTTGCGGGTACCTTGGAATAGTGTTCGAATTGCTCGGCAAATATGATGGGGCCCGAAAATACCTAGAGAAAGCACTTACTATGAATATAGAAATTGGCGAAAGAGAAGGAGAAGCAACAAACTACGGGAACCTCGGAAGACTGTTTCAATTGCTTGGCGAACATGACAAGGCCCGAGAATACCTAGAGAAAGCCCTACGTATTTACAGGGGAATTGGCGGAAGAAAAGGAGAGGCAGACACTTACGGAAACCTTACTTCATTTTTTCTGTCCCTCGGTCAATATCGAAAGGCTGAAGATTTTCTAGAGAGAGCAGTGGCAATTTGGAGGGAAATCGGTGACAGAAGTGGACAAGCAATACATTTCGGAAACCTTGGGAGGATTTCTTGTAAGCGTGGTGAGTACGACAATGCTCTAGAATATCACAAGAAAGCCCTTGAAATTCACATGGAAAATGGTACGAAAGAAGGTGTTGTTGTCGGTTACGCACATATAGCATCGTGTTTCCAATCGCTCGGTAAATATGACATGGCCGAGGAATACCTCAAGAGAGCTCTCTCATTAAGCAGGGATGTTGGACACAGCTCGCGTGAGTTTCAATGCCTTCTTGATCTAACGGTGTTGAAGGTATCACAAAATGATCTTGAAGAAGCCTTTTCGTGTCTTTTCCAAACCATTCAAATTTTCGACACGTTGCGAGGATCTCTAAAAGAAAATGATCAGTTTAAAACATCACTTTTAGAGGAACACGGCACCTTTCCGTACAAGTTGCTCAGTAGCTTACTTTCTTCCAAGGCAAAGCCACACCACGCCCTCTATGTCGAGGAGTTGAGACGGGCGAGGGGCTTGGCCGACTTGATGGGGGCTCGCTACTCTGTTGTAAAGCAGATCTCAGGCGATCCAAAATCATGGTATGGGATTCAAAACATTGTCGCAAAGGAAACTGACTGCGCATGCCTCTACATTTCTGTTGGAAAAAAGCATATGCACTATTGGATTCTCAAAGCAACAGGGGCTATCATTTTTAAAGATGAAGAAGTGAGCCTGGACAAAAATGTGGTGACCGGATTAGTCCCTAACTTGGATGAGTTTTTTACGAAAAGCTTTCGTGGCCTTGGCATTTTACCCGAACATAATTGCGAAGATCGATCTCTAGATGACACCGAATCGATGTCACTTTACCATGAAAATCACGCGCTCCTGCGCGATTGTGATGACAAAGGTATCAAGACAAATCTTCAATTGTGTCACAAGATAATCATCGCTCCTGTGGCCGCTTTACTGAAGGAGCCCGAAATTATCATTGTCCCTGATTCCTGTATGTATCAGGTACCATTTGCGGCCTTAACTGACGATGGAGGAAACTTTG